GGAGAAACAATTCAGTCCAGAATGTGTGAAGAGATATAGGAAGTAGTCATGCTGCTTCTGCTCAATTGAACTGGACACTTTCTTAATAATATACTAAGTTCAAACATCTCTTCTTTTGTAGGAAACCAATTTGAATTTTTGCATCACCTTATCAATCTTGTTTAAGTCAATTTCTTTTTGAAGTGACATTGCTAAAAGGCACAGATCAAGATATATATCCAATCTATTTAATTAATGTGGTGTGACGTTCCTGTGTGAAAAAGCATTTCCTTTTTGGAAACCCATTATTCACTCTACTCCAACTTTCTTTATAGTGACAAGAACTAAATAAGCTATCAAGAGTATGCCTTGAGTGTCTGGGATCTTATGTAACCATCTTGACATTTGATCTCTAGAATTACCTTGGGAAGTATGGAGACTAGATCAGTTGGGTTGTGATATGTATGTCAACTTTGTGTCCTATTTTTCTTATTTTGAAAGTAGAAGAGGGGACAATGTTTTTCAGTAGACTTGATTAAAAAAAATCAGGCAGTATTAATCACTGAAACTGTGAGCCATGGTGGTACTGTAGTTAGGATTCAGTACTGAAGGCTACTTCTGCTGACTGCTGGCTACCAGCAATTTGGCAGTTCGAATCTCACCAGGCTCAAGATTGACTCAGCCTTCGAGGTCAGTAAAATGAGGACCCAGATTGTTGGGGACAATAGCTGACTCTGTAAACCACTTAGAGGGGGCTGTAAAGCAGTATGAAGCTTTATATAGGTAAGTAGAAGTTCTAAGTGCTAAAATCAGCAGTCAAGCAGGGAAGTGAAGAAGCACTGTGAAGTGTGACTATCTCACATGCTGTTCTTTCTGTCAATGTTTTGGAATCCCTTTCTTTCTCCTCAGAGAAGTCATGGGAACCACCCCAGAGAGCCTAAAAAGGAAGAAAGAAACAAGCAGCTGGTATGATATGGTTATTTTTGTGTTCTATTGCTGTTAACAATTTCACTAAGAGCTCTTCTGTCTTCCTCCTGGAGACCAACAGGATCACCTGCCATATGAGGGAGTATACAAATCTATTAGGTTGGGGAGGAGAAGGCAATCAGAAACTCCCTAAGTGGCCCATTTTCCTTACAGCATGTCATTATAAAAAGTATGTTAGAATAGGAGCCAGTCCTATTTTTCTCTCATTTGAGAAAGCAGTGTCATAACTAAAACTACTAGTGAAGATTTTGTGAAAATTCCACCTTATCCAATGCATTTAGCAAAATACTTTTAAGGAGCATATCAAGACATAAACAATATAACTAACCAAAGAGAATTGTGCAAATTCTTATGAAGAACAGTTGCAGGAACTAGGTTTGGCTAGTCTAGAGAAAAGAAGGAGTAGGGAGGACACAAAGAGGACGGGATTCCAGTATTTGAGGGACTTCCACAAAGAAGAGGGTGTCAACTTATTTTCAGATACAATTATAGTAGCAAATGCATTTTCTTTGCTCTCCTCAAAGTTGTGCAAGAGACTTTACATACAGTAGACTTAATCGGTGGAACAACATGCCTCCAGAAGTTGTGAATGCTCCAACACTGGAAGTTTTAAAGAAGAGATTGGACAGCTATTTGTCTGAAATGGTGTTGAGTTTCCTGCTAGATAGTTTTTATCCTAATACTTCCTCCACCACTGTGCTAGCTGCCAACTCTGCAGTTTGGTTGTCCTGAGCCTGAACAACCAGTGGTCTCAGCTGTTTCCTTTAGATCTTCAGAAGCCATTCTGTCCACTGTCTGGATCATTTCCCTGCCTCAGACTGAATCCTTAACAAAATCACTGTTTTGAAGTCACAAAAACATACCTGGTTGAATTCATTCTGCTCTGCCCTGCTACAACTGCAGATAAATTCTAGTCAGTATAAAAATGATTAGGGATCTGTCAATAAAAAGACACCCTATTCTTAATATTCTGATCATCATTTTCTGGTCCCGAGCAAAAACAATGTTTCCTGCTACAAAAATAGAGCAGTAATCATTTGGGCAGCCCTATGGGGGTCATGAATATCATCCTTTCACATGGACACTCCATAGAGATTGGAATCCTTCAGAATTAATAATATGAGAATTCCAGCTCTATATCTGCAAACATCCTTAGATAGTTTAGATACAGCGATTGCATGCAGCAGGATAGACAAAATGAATTTCTCTCTCTCTCTCTCTCTTTCTTTCCCTCCCTCCCTCTCCACACACATCCACAAACACCGGGATTAGCAAATGGGAAGGGAAAGGTAGATGAATAAGATGCCTGGCTTGATATCATACTACTGCAGATTTATTTTTTCATTAAACATTAAAAAAATATCAGGCTCCCTAATCTTTTTCTGCAATTGCTGGAAAGATACTGAAAAATCACCATTCCTTTTTGTTCCTGCTCGAGCACAAGGATGTGTTGATTCCAAAGAACCAGCTCATTCTGCCAGGGGTATTGGACAAATATGGCCACATAATCTGTGGCTTAGTGTGATAATTCAGGAGTCCATTTGCCAGCAGATCTAAGAACAATTTCTGCAAGGACTGTAACCCAATTTCCCACACAGTGCAACATGCAAACAAGAAACATGTTGCCAAGCTAATGGCTACTGCATTCTCCCCACCCCAAATCAGCATTTGCATTTTAAACTATGAACTGAGAGCAAAACAAAGTAACAGACATATCCAAAATGCTCCCAAAGGAGGCTTTCACTGTGAAAATCAAGTTTTTCACATTCATAAAATTCTATAGGTGGTCCAGATGTTGACATCTACCATGTTTTTCTAATGCATTCCCCTTCTTTCATACTAAGAAAAAATCCATTGAGAAGGTGGAAAGATGCACAATGTCTTTTATCAGAACATTTATCAGAACAGCTCTAGTTCCCTCTGAGCCTATTAAATAGAGAATAGCATCACAATAAACACATGAATAACCCAGCTATTCTGAAAATTTAATCATTTGTTCCAATATTTTACAGAAACTCAATCTCCAAGTAAGCATGCTTAAGGCTGCAATACTGTTTTAACCAAACAGTGCTTTGAAATATCTCGCCTTAAGATATAAATTGAAGAATAGTGCAAAACTAAATAATAAGTTATGTTCGCCATGAGAAAAAACATCCAAACCCATATTGAGAGAATATCTTTATTAGTCTATCTGAAAGCTTATAAATTGTGGCACACAATGGGATTTCTAGAAACAAGTCATGAAGGAAGATGGTTAAAATATACAGAATGAAAATAAAGAAGAGAACAAGGAGATGGAAAATATATATATATCTGGAACAAGACTTATAAGTCACATCTTATCCAATGATTGCCAGGGTACCTGGAAGAGGGGGGGAGTCTAGGAGTGCTAAACTGTAATGTTGGGTTGAGTTGTGTGATTCAGCCACTGAAAGTTGTCTAAGCACAGTACACCGACCAAACTCAGCCAAGTTAGTATCATGGTTAAGCCATGGGCCAGTATGATCTTCAAATCAGATCAATAGTTTCATACTGAGATACTCAAACATTGAGTTATGAATGGTGAATTGAGCCATCTATCATATTGAGGCAGGTGGAGAAAATGACCAAAATATCACAATATCACCTGGGTATATGAGCCCCCCAGGCTCTAAATTCTTACCAGCTTTTGAACATTAATATATACTTAATATGTACTTTTATTAACTCTGATTTTATTTCTTCAGTATGTTGTAACGAACATTATTGGAACAGTGTGGCAAGACGCTGTAAAGGAGGGGCACAGGAAGCCAAGTGTGTGTGTAAGATAGAACAGAGATGTAACTGCCAAGAGCTTAAGACATTATAGGAACTTCTCTTTTTGTATTTTTCCTATGTACTTCTCTTTTTGAAATATCATGTTTATTTGTTGTATGGAAACGCCTTACGAGAGCTCAGTTTGGAGCAAGGTATAAAACTAATATCCTGGGCAGAGCCCAGGCAGTTCAGATCTTGGTGTGTTAGCACGCTGAACTCGATGCATTAATAAACCTGTATCTCTTTTACCTTCATGGTCTCATGTCCCATTCTTATAATTGACATGTGGTAAAAGCTATCAGCTGCTGCTATATTTTCTGGCGACACTGCCAGGACTTTGAGGGTCTTGGGACCCTCTGGAGTGTCCACCCCGGTGTCGGGGCTCATCTTGTGGGGAGAAACCTCCCTGGCACCAATGGACCAATTGTTCCAAGGGACTTCGGCAGCGGCGGCTAACATCTCCAAGAACCACCGGAGAGGGACCAGAGACCAGGACACCGTGAGGCCGGCCAGCAGAGAAGGAGGGACCCCAACAGGCAAGTATTGTGGGGACCCATAATAGACCCGGACTCCTTGATGAGCCGGAGGCAAGGCCTGATCTCCCTTGCTTGACGAAAAGGTACCTGTGGGAGGATTGTCAAGTGTGTTTGAAGTGTGAGGCTACTACAGTTCCCTATGGTGACCGTGAGTTCCGGCACCCTGGGCCAGTAGCGAGTGTGTGGCATTCGCAGTTCCCATTGGAGTTCCCATGTTTTGGAGATAAGACAGTTTCATAACTACTGACTATTTAATAGGCCAAGGAAAGTATGCATCAAGTTCACTGGCCTCTCTCCTACATCTGATTGCCACCAATCACCTGAACTTCTGCAGCAGAAATTCTAATGCTTTAAAGTAGATTTATCATGGACAAAAAAATCAGGAGGCAGCTGATGGCACCTTGGTTAATATCAAGGATCTAGAATCATTGAAAAATCAATGGAACTGCACAGGGATGAATGACTTGATTTAGAGCTAGTGCCTGCTCTGAGCTGACAGAAAAGTGAGGCCAAGACATAGACTAGGCTACTTTATAAAGTAGATAACAGCAATAGCCCTTAGACTTATATATTACTTCACAGTGCTTTTACAGCCCTCTCTAAGCGGTTTACAGAGTCAGCATATTGCCCCCAACAATCTGAGTCCTCATTTTACCCACCTTGGAAGGATGGAAGGCTGAGTCAACCTTGAGCTGGGTGAGATTCGAACTGCCAAATTGCAATCAGCCAGCAGTCAGCAGAAGGAGCCTACAGTACTGAACTCTAACCACTGCAGCTCTTTAGATTCATAATGGGAAGGAATACAATTTAAATAATCCAAGTACTTTATATACCCTCAAATATATAACCAGATACTTCCTGTGATTCTATCTGGCTCCTATTACATAGACACACACACACTTTTTTTTTTTTTTGCTGTACTGGCATTATTTTTAAAAAACCAAGGTGACTTTTAATATAACCACCTACATTTTACTAGGGTTGAAGATAATAGTTAAAAGGTCTTACCAAGATATACTACATTTGTAAATTTCCAGTAAAAAAAATGCAGACAGAATTCTAGAATCAAATAAACTATGTTTACAAGTAGCCATACATACATCATTCAGCCAGATTATTTTTAACACACATAGTTTTTCCAAGTACATGCAGTGATAACAACCTATAACTATTTTACAGATTGCTGAAAAGCAAGAATGGACAGATGGAAGATCTGAAAGTGCTGATAGAGATGGGTGTGAATGGTTTGTGGTAGATAAACATTTCTACCTTCATATCATAACTATCAATCCAAACTAACTAAAAAAAAACAAAGAGTAGATTTTTGTGTGTGAAAGAATTACAACCTGTTTCTTTTACACCCTCTCCCAAAGTACTCTGTTCTTTGTTTTTCTGATCCCATTTTGCAGCTAACTTCAGTGGGAAGTTGTTAGGATTCCATTAAAAAACAAAGAGCTACAATTACTGTAGATATGTAATCTTTTTGGTGCCAATGTCTAAATGTTGCTGTCAACCCTGAAGCGGACCTGGCTGACTTATGGCTTCAGGGTTGCCATAAGGCAGAAGAGGATCAGGGAGGGGAGAAAATAGATAGCTGTGGTTTTGTAGTTAAAACAAAAAGTTTTCCTGTGGGAACCAAGGAGATTTCAACAGGTAGCTGGGGAGAGGAGGAGTGGAGTAACCAAGCAGCCGGCCAGCACCTCTATTGGACAATGTGACTGATGACTGAGGGGAAAGGGGGAACTTTCACTTTTTAACTAGGTGAAAACCATGGGAACTTTCAGAGTCGGTTTTCACCATATTGGTACCAATATAAATTATAGCTAGTCCTTGCTTAACAACTATTTGTTTAGCAACCGTTGGAAGTTATGACAGTGCTGAAAAATTGACTTATGACTGGTTCTTGAACATATAACTATTTTAGCATATGTGTAGTCATGTGATTGCCATTTGCTACCTTCCAGCTGGCTTTAACAAGCAAAACCAATGGGAAAACCGGCAGGAAGTCAAAAGTCACATTCATATAATATCTCTCAGAATAACCATTTGCTTAATAACCATCAGCAGATTGTTTATGTGATAAACAATTTCTGCTTAGTGATAGAGACGTTAGGTCCCAGTTAAGATCATTAAAGTATGGACTAACTTGTGGTATATGAATGATACTGGTAAAATAGAGATTTTAGATGCCACTTAATTCCATGTGGAGTAAATATTGGATAAAAATTTATTTGTACATTAAATGAGAGTTTGGGGGACTTTGGAAATATTGAACATATTTCAGGTTTCAGATATATGTTGTACTCACATAGTTCTCAAATCTCAAATGATATATTTAATTGTATTAAGAGCCATCCTTCAAAATCTATTCAAGGCCCATTGCCAGTCTTTATAAATAGTTCTGCACTTTCTGTTCCATTTGCCTATCTCTTTATGCCATTTATTTTATCATTCCATCTCTTGCATTGGATCATTACATAGATGGCAGAACCCTCCATGATTTTGCATTTTGAAACTTTTAACGCATGTGATAATCGGAAAAACAACAGCAGCAGCAACAACAGAGGTATTATTGCTCAACAGGAGATAACCAAAGAGCTTGACAAAGACTGATGTTCTGGTGTTTTCTCAAGAGACTTGCTTCCGGTGAGTTTGCAGGCAGCCAGTTCATGGTAGAGAGCATCTAAGACTTCAGCAATAGGTGGTTTTCCTTTAAAATAAAGAAAAAAACCCTGTTGAATTAACAAAATCAAAATTATGCAATTGCAACTCTATGAGTGTGCGCCAAAGCCTAAAGAAGGAGAAGAAAAAGATGAAGAACCATATGTATCAGGAGCAACATGGTTTTTTTTAATTAAAAGGTTTTTTTATTTTTATTTTTCAAAACAGACACAACACAAAAAACCCTCTTTCTTTACATACTGTAGAAAGTGTATCAGTTGGTTACAAAAAGTTTTTGTGCATTTCTTTCACAGTCATCCATGATTCATATTAATTCTAGTATTTTAAATTAAATATATTTGTACATATTACCATAATCCTATCCCCATTCTCGTTTGACTATAATTGTTTAAACGTCCGTCATCATAAAACATACCAAAACTCAAGACATCTACTGGCATCTCATTTGCTATTTCTAGTATCCCAATAACACTATTCCTTATGGCCTATTCTAGCTAAACATCAAAAACATTTAGTAACAAAGGTTTCTAATCTTCCTTTCCAAATCACTGTTTACAATTTACATCCAATTTCCCATGTTGTACCCATACCTATATATACATTGTTATCATTATCTCTCCTTTATTTGACTATGTCCATTATCATAATTTAGTTCTTTTTTTATTAATCTTTATGTGTAACCAAACCATTTCTCATCT